CTCGAAGCTTCCAGCCTAAAACCCTAAAACCTCAACAGCAAAAGCCTAAAACCTCGAAGCTTCCAGCCTAAAACCCTAAAACCTTAACAGCAAAAGCCTAAAACCTGGAAGCTTCCAGCCTAAAACCGTAAAACCTCAACAGCAAAAGCCTAAAACCTCGAAGCTTCCAGCCTAAAACCCTAAAACCTCAACAGTTAAAGCCTAAAACCTCGAAGCTTCCAGCCTAAAACCCGAAAACCTCAACAGCAAAAGCCTAAAACCACCTAGCTCTTCAACACGAGCCTGGAAAACTAGAATTTGACAGCCTCAATTTTTTGGTCGATTTCATGTTTAAACGTATTGCTGGTTTTAGGCTTAGCGGCCAAATCGTGGCCCATGTCCCTTTGAGGCCTCAAACCTGTAAGCTAAAGAGGGTAAAACCATGCAGCTCCCAGCCTTAAACCCTAAAACCTCAACAGCAAAAGCCTAAAACCTCGAAGCTTCCAGCCCAAAACCCTAAAACCTTAACAGCAAAAGCCTTAAACCTCGAAGCTTCCAGCCTAAAACCCTAAAAACCTCAACAGCAAAAGCCTAAAACCTCGAAGCTTCCAGCCTAAAATCCTAAAACCTCAACAGTTAAAGCCTAAAACCTCGAAGCTTCCAGCCTAAAACCCGAAAACCTCAACAGCAAAAGCCTAAAACCACCTAGCTCTTCAACACGAGCCTGGAAAACTAGAATTTGACAGCCTCAATTTTTTGGTCGATTTCATTATTAAACGTATTGCTGGTTTTAGGCTTTGCGGCCAAATCGTGGCCCATGCCCCTTTGAGGCCTAAAACCTGTAAGCTAAAGAGGGTAAAACCATGCAGCTCCCAGCCTTAAACCCTAAAACCTTAAGAGCAAAAGCCTAAAACCTCGAAGCTTCAAGCCTAAAACCCTAAAACCTCAACAGTTAAAGCCTAAAACCTCGAAGCTTCCAGCCTAAAAGCCTAAAACCTCAACAGCAAAAGCCTAAAACCACCTAGCTCTTCAACACGAGCCTGGAAAACTGGAATTTGACAGCCTCAATTTTTTGGTCGATTTCATTATTAAGCCTCCCTGGTGCCTCCCTGGTGCCTCGCAAGCTGTCTAAATGGTTCTTCCCTGCCTCCCTGTGCCTCGCAGGCTGTCCAATTGATCCTTTCCTGCCTCCCTGTGCCTCGCAGGAGTCCTTTCCTGCCTTCGTGGTGCCTTCAAAGCTGTCCAAATGGTCCTTTCCTGCCTCCCTGGTGCCTCTCAGGCTGTCTCCAATTGATCCTTTCCTGCCTCCCTGGTGCCGTCCACTGAGTCCTTTCCTGCCTCCCTGGTGCCTCTCAGGCTGCCCAAATGGTCTTTTCCTGCCTCCCTGGTGTCTCTCAGGCTGTCCAAATGGTCCTTTCCTGCCTCCCTGGTGCCTCCCTGAGCAGCATTTCAAAAGCCAGTCTGTGCTACGGGCAGCCGGCCGTGGAGCCCACCCCAGGATTTACCGCGAACCGGGCCGATCGCCATTGAAATTGTATTAAAAGTTAGGCAAAATCTGGCGCCCTTTCAAAACCGGGATTCGATCGGCAATCCTGTGCTACAAGTCTCCCAGGTGCCTCCCTGGTGCCTCTTCTTTCCTGCCTCCCTGGTGCCTCCCTGGTGCCTCGCAGGCTGTCCAATTGATCCTTTCCTGCCTCCCTGGTGCCTCCCAGGCCGTCCAAATTGTTCTTTCCTGCCTCCCTGGCTGTCCAATTGATCCTTTCCTGCCTCCCTGGTGCCCTCTGAAACTGTCCAATTGATCCTTTCCTGCCTCCCTGGTGCCTCGCAAGCTGTCTTAAATTGTTCTTCCCTGCCTCTCTGTGCCTCGCAGGCTGTCCAATTGATCCTTTCTTGCCTTAACAGTAAAAGCCTAAAACCATCCAAAAATTTAATTATAAAAAATATTTTGGGAAAATGTGTTTTCTCATTCCTCTCCGTGACCTGATCACTGCAGGGTTTAGGGTTTCTATATTACTATATAGGCAGTACTGCCTGAGTCATTTAGCCAGTACTGGCTCGAAGTGCTGAAGGTCGTGGCAGACGCATACAATACAGTGGGATAGTACTTGTCACGTGACAAGTACTTCTCATGTGAGATGTACACAAGGGCGGTCAGCGTGGGGCTCTGCTGGGGCGAGCGGCTCTAGCGAGCCGCCGCCCGAGGCAGGCCCCCCTAGTTTAGGGTTTAGGGTTTAGGGTGTTCACGGCTCATGGCGTGCGCCTTTATCGGGGCGGCTATCGAATATTTTTTAACGCCGCCCCTCACCATTGCGCACGCCATCACGTTGCGGACAAGCCCACCCCAAGGCCGCCCAAACACAACTCTTTTAGGGTTTAGGGTTGCCCTCAGTCGCCGGGCAGGCTCTTGGCCTTTCTTTCTCCCCTCGCGCGCGCCCATCGATTGCGTCGCTGCCTTCCCGAGCCCCGTGCCAAGACGTGGAAGGCAAACCAAGAGACATATACAGGCAAAGCCGACAAGTGCAAAAAAAAAAGCGAGGCCGCAACGCCGGCGACTGAGCAAGGGGTTGCGGCCGAGCCGAAGAAAGAAAGGAGGCGTGGAAAGGAATGTGCATGGATCCGGCCATTTAGGTTTTGCGAATGGGGCATGGCCGCCCGACCGATCGGCGGCCACAAAAATTTATGGAACGGTAAGATGGCGGCGACCGAGCCGCTTAGGCAATTTTGCGATCGAAAATCGCAGAACGGTTCGATGGCATCGCGAGCGTGTGGCCGCGGGTTTTGGCCCTCGCTTAGCAAAGTTTATTGTGAAATGGACACATTCTGCGCAAAATCTGGTGCAGCCCTTTTTGTCCCCCGTGACCTTTGGTGAGGTGCTCGCCGGGTTGAAAATTTCATGTGGCCGCGGGTTTTGGCCCTCGCTTAGCAAAGTTTATTGTGAAATGGGCAGTGCCCAAGGCTCTGCTTTCCTGCCTCCCTGGTGCCTCGCAAGCTGTCCAATGAGTCCTTTCCTGCCTCCCTGGTGCCTCTCAGGCGTCCAAATGGTCCTTTCCTGCCTCCCTGTCAAAGGGAACCCTGTGCTCCGAGCGGCATTTCAAAGGCCAGTCTGTGCTGGGCAGCCGGGCGTGGAGCCCACCCCAGGATTTGCCGCGAACAGGCCGTTCGCCATTGAAGTTGTATTAAAAGTTAGACAAAATCCGGCGCCCCGATTCGATCGGCAATCCTGTGCTACAAGCCTCCCTTGTGCCTCCCTGGCGCCTCCCAGGCTGTCCAAATGGCTCTTTCCTGCCTCCCTGGTGCCTCCTGGTGCCTCGCAGGCTGTCCAATTGATCCTTTCCTGCCTCCCTGGTGCCTCGTAGGCTGTCCAATTGATCCTTTCCTGCCTCCCTGGTGCCTCCCAGGCTGTCCAAATGGCTCTTTCGTGCCTCCCTGGTGCCTCCCTGGTGCCTCGCAGACGGTCCAATTGGTCCTTTCCTGCCACCCTGGTGCCTCGCAAGCTCGAAATGGCTCTTTCCTGCCTCCCTGGTGCCTCCCAGGCTGTCCAAAGGGCTCTTTCCTGCCTCCCTGGTGCCTCCCTGGTGCCTCGCAGACTGTCCAATAGATCCTTTCCTGCCTCCCTGGTGCTTCGCAAGCTGTCCAAATGGTTCTTTCCTGCCTCCCTGGTGCCTCCCAGGCTGTCGAATTAATCCTTTCCTGCCTCCCTGGTGCCTCCCTGGTGCCTCGCAAACTGTCCAATTGATCGAAAGCCTTCAGTGGGCAGCCTGGGAGGCTTCAGGAGGCCAGTTGGGCCCTCCCGGGAGGCACCAAAAGCTTTTGCTGAGGGCGTCTTTCCAAGAATGGGGTTTAGGGTAATAGAATGTATCAATGATCAAAGCATCGTGACAGATGCAGGCCTGGCTCAGCCTGCTGGGGAGACTCCAGTTCAGAACTGGCTAGCAAGTTTTGCAGCCTAACAAAACTTGCAGCGCCTCGCTGACATGCTCGGGCAGCGCCCGCTCACCCCATTAGGTGATGTAGGGGTGGCGGGCGGGTTTAGGGTTTAGGGTGTTCACGGCTCATGGCGTGCGCCTTTATCGGGGCGGCTATCGATCATTTTTTAACGCCGCCCCTCCCCACTGCGCACGCCATCACGTTGCGGACAAGCCCACCCCAAGGCCACCCAAACACAACTCTTTTAGGGTTTAGGGTTGCCCTCAGTCGCCGGGCAGGCTCTTGGCCTTTCTTTTTTCCCCTCGCGCGTGTCCATCGATCGCATCGCTGCTTTCCCAAGTCCCGGGCCAAGAGACGGAAGGCAAACAAAGGAGCATATGCAGGCAAAGCCGACAAGCGCAAAAAAAAAAAGAGGCGAGGCCGCAACGCCGGCGACTGAGCAAGGGGTTGCGGCCGAGCTTCAAGTTATTATAGGAAGTTAGTGATGTTATGAATTCTAATTTGAACCCAAGCTGCCGATCCGGGACGATGGTGGGAGTGTCTTTGCTGGCCATCTGCCCATCAGAATTTATAAGGTCCGCCGGCTTTGCGGAACAATGTTTCAACAAAGACACATAACTCGCCGATTCGCCGTCTGAACGCAGGATGCTATGTTTTTTTCGTCGCCAAGCACGACCCTATGTTCTGTCCGTGGCCTTCGGCCAAGGGCGTCCACTGTTTTCAAGGACATCCTTCTTGGCCTAGAGCCGTCCACGATGCGCCTACTGTACAAATGCGACCGGGCTACCGCTTAGACCGCTCACCTGGCAGGAACGAAGTGCTCCGGCTTGATGTAGCCCCCCAAGAGGTAGTCGGTGTCCTTCTTAACTCTGGATAAAGCCACATAGGCAGCAGCTGCGCACCCTTCCCTGTCAGGCCAAAACGTCACGTGGGCCAGCTCCGCCCCCTGGAACTTGTGCACGGTGTCTGCGTACCCGGGCTTCATCGGGTAGTAGACCACCCGGCCGCCGGCGGCATCTTCCGTCACGGGGTACACGCAGAGCACCTGCTTGGTCTCGGTCTCCACAATGACGCCCCCGGAAGACCGGTCGAAGGCTTGGACCGTGGCCGTCATGCCGTTCACATAGTCCAGCCTCTTGTTCATGTTCCGGGTCAGGCGGATCCGCAGACCTTCGTAGAGGTCTAATTTCAAGGGCTCCGGGCTTTGATCCTGCCTCATCTCGTAGGCCACCCCGTTCCAATGGTAGTTGTCGGGGTTGCTCTCGTAGTCAGCGCCTACGCCGCCCAATTTGATGCGGCCGGGTAGCTCGAAGAGCACCTCCACGGCCAAAGCGTTAACCAGAGCAGCGCCCCATCGAGTGCACGTGATGACAGTGGTAGCCCCATCGGTTTTGCGCAGCAAGTCTTGGATGTCCAGGTTCGTGGGCTCGTGGTGCCCAGACCAGGCTCTGCGACCGCTGCACATATCTCGCACAAAGGCGCTGCCTTCCCCGCCCATGGGCCGGTTCTTGCGCAGGTAGGCCAGCTTCTCCAGCAAGGGGTCTCCGTCGGCTTGGCGCCAGACCTTGTGGAGCTCAATCTTGTAGACCAGGCGCCATTTGGGGTGGTGGACAAGGCTGCGCTTGGTGTTGTCCGGCGGCGGCAACTGCCACTCATCGCCCACGAAGACCAGGCACGGAACCTTGCCCGCCGCCCGCCACATTTGATCCAGCCGTTCAAAATGCTCTTCAAAAAGTTGGACGGCCTCGTCGACGACGATCAGATCATAGCACATCATGATACCCATGGCCTCTACCAGCGGCTTGTGGAAGAGAAAGGCCCCGTGGCAAGTGTCGAGGTCCACTTCAGGGTGGCGTTGCTTCATTCGAGACCTTTGAACTCCCGTGGGCATGGCCAGCAAGATCCGGGCTTGCAGGCGTTGGGCCCGCTTGACGCAGAGGTCCACGACGGCAGTCTTGCCGGTGCCGGGTTGGCCAGACACGGCGACCATGGAACCGTGCTCTTCTGCGAGGCCAAGCAATCGCTCCATTTCCTGCTCGTCGGCAGCGTCTCGAATGGCCAGGGCTTGATCGACGCGCTGGTCGATGTTGTCGGCCACCCGCTTCTGCTCCGGGGTGAGTCGCAAGCCGCTCTCCGCATCTTCAAAGTAAGAAGGCATCACCCGCGCAGCCGGCCGCACGCGCGTCTCTCGTTCCAGGTGCCCGTTCAAATGCAGGTGAATGAAGAATTCCTGGGTCTTGATCATTTGAACCACTGTGTTGACCAGGGATTCTTTGTGCGCCCTCAAAGCCATGTGCTCCCGGATGGCCTGCTCGTTCCGCCACACGTGCGGTGCCCAATGCAGAGCGCAAGCCAAAAATTTCACGTGTTCAGGCACCTTGTCCACGATGTCTGGCACAAGCAAGCCACTCAGCGTCTGGAAGGGTACGTTCAATGCCATCCACTGGCCATAGTACCTCAACAGCGGTCGAGCGCGAGGCGACCGTAAGACGGCGACGCCTTTGAACAACCCGTCGCCGTCAAATAACGGTTTCGAACCGAGCGGCTTATCGTTGAGCATGGACACCATCTCCGCAGCTATGATTTTCTCGCCAAAGGTCTCGTAACGGACCGCGAAGCTCTCTAAACTGAGGCCTCTGGTGTCCTTCATGTGGGCCTTCCGGATGTGCTCCAAGATGTTGCCCTTGTTGTTGACCCTGCGCAAGTACTCCAGGAGAGTCATCTCGCCGCGCCAGGCGGCCTGCTCGTAGAGCGCCACGTAAGCCGGGGGCTGCTCCATGCCTGGGTGCGGCGCGATGATCGGCTGCATAGTCCCACCCATCACGAACATGGGGAAGCTTTGATTGGCCAGCAGCAGCCACATCTCAGGCTCTCCGGGATGAAAAGTGAAAAGGGCACGCCTGGCAGCTCCATAGCCGCTGCTACTGTCATCCATGAGCTCCTTGCCAGGACCGTCACTGAACTTGGGCAAGTAGGTGGCGGCGTACTTGAGCATGAGGCCGGTGCCGCGCTCGATCTGCGCATCCTGATGGCATTTCAAGACGTCCAGGACTTCTGGGCTGTAGCCTCGCACGCCGAGCCGCTTGTCCTCCATGGAGTGGTGAAGCTTCACCTTGTCCACGGCCGCGTCATAGTGAGAAGGTCCTTCAAAGACCGGCCAGCCGCTGCCCGTCCTGCTCGTTTGGCCATCGAGCACCAAGCCTCTCAGCGGGTCGCCTTCCGCAGGCACAGTCGCGGAGAACTTCTCGTGCAACTTCATGTGCTTGATGCTCTCGGCAAAGACCAGCCCATGGAGATGCACGGCGCCTCGACCATGGTAGTCTTGGGTCGACTCTTTCCGCTTGCCGTCTTGGAATTCCAAGCGGCCCACGAAGTTGACCTTAACCCGACTGCCATCCGGCTTCGTGCCACCAAACAGAGCTGCCTTCCACTGCGACGTGGCATCGCCGAACTTGCGGCCGCCACCACAGACCCATTCCCTGAAGAGCTCAGTCAAGAGATGTGCCAAATGCAAAGATTCAGGCCCGGCCAACCCCAGACGTTGCCGGCCTAAATCTCGCATCTGCTGCAGAAGTGCTTCGTGGTAGGGAGCGGACCACTCGAAGGGAGCCCAAGTGATGAAAGCGACCGGGTAACCGCACTGAGCTTGCATGTCCAAGGCGGCCGCGTGGCGAACCTGCCAGTATTGAGGAGTCCAGGCAGCGCCTTTCATGGCTTGCCACATCGGCATGCCTCGCAGAGCGCCCTTCTTTCCGCCGATGTCCGACCAAGTGGACAGGTCGAAGACGAAGTGCAAGAGGTTGTAGTCACCAGCGTAGTCCGCTGTGGGCCCGAAGGCTTTGAGGAGGAAGCTCCGCTTGAGACTTTGGCGGCCGCTGCTGTCTTCTTGCCCCCCCGTCGCGTCACCCATGGGATCGTCTTCTGGATCTTGTTGATGGCCAGCCCGCTGCTTGCGACGAACGTCCGCTAGGCGAGTGGCCGTCTCACAGAGCCGGGTATCCCAGTAGAGATGTGGCCACACAGCGGTCTCGATGCCCTCTTCCTCGATGTAGCGAAGTGGCCTCTTACGGCGCTCATCCGTGGCCCGGGGATTGTCGTTCATGAAGCGCCGGTGCCGCTCGATCCATTTCCAGTAGTTGCAGTTGTCCTTGTCCACGAGAAAATTGAAAGCCTGCGCCAGTCGAGGCCGAACACATCAAAGCGAGTCGGTCGCGACCACCGATCCGACAACGAACCATAAACCGATCTAGGACCTAGTAAAGATGTCGCCCGCACCTTCTTTGCTCTCTTCCGCTCTTGCCGACTCCGCAAAGCATCGATCTTGTCCTCCACGTCGTCCAGGGCCCACGAGAAGCGGATCATGCTGCTGTGGAAGTAGTAGCCAAACTCAGCCTTCCATTCCGGCCCGCTGTCCACGTCCAAGGGCCGCAGCGCCTCAATTTGGGCCCAGGATAAGCCACGAAGCACAGCCGGCACATCTTCTGGTGAGGGTATCCATGTTTTCTTGTCCTCCTTTTTGGCACAGTTCTTGCAAAGGATGATGTTTCCCTTGGCTGCGTCTCGTGAAGCTGCTTCCTTCAGATGACGTGGTTGCACGGAAGCACATTGGCGACACAAGTCCCAAGACCCACGCTTGCACCAAGTCTCCAACGCAGCAGCTGCAGAGCTGACGTAGGCAGCAGGCAAGCCAGCATCGTTGTGTGCGAGATCCCGCACCTGTCCACGAAGCTCCTCGTTCATTGGTGCTCGCCATTGGTGGTTGGCGTGTCGGACCGTCCGTGTCCTGCTTGGAAAGAACTTCTTCTGCACATAAGCTCTATCCTGCTCCACTCCGTCTTGGTATTCACGGAGTTCTTGAGGCGAAGGGCCGGCGACAATGGAGCACCGCTTTGCAAGCAACTCCTCCCACATGGGCTCAGACACTTGGGCGCGCAAGCTTTCCCTTGTTGCGCCATCGATCTCCGCCAAAACGCTCTGGTTGAAAGCCGCCTCAAAGATGTTGGGCGCCATCAAGCGCCATTGCCTCAAGAGGCGGGCCACGATCTTCCGGCCACGCGCAGTGCCCAAGGCAGTGTCCATGTTGTCCCGATGACAAAAGCTGCAGCACCCGTCCCGGGTTCCTTTGGCGGCGCGACCGCTGCCATCAGCAGCAAAGCAACATGGCTGTTCCGGGCCCCTGCCCGGGCAAAACACCTGTCTCCGCCGATGGCCGGCGGGCGCGGCCTCCGCAGCAAGAGCTGGCTGCGCGGCAGGCGCTTGGAGCTCTTCGTGTGGCAGCGGCGGCCGCTTCGCCCAAATGCGACGGCGCTTGGGTGGTTCCATGGCCACAGCAACACAACAGAGGGGGAGACGGGCGACGCGAGGCAGGCGATTGCGAATTGAATTGAGTGCTGCAAAGGGCCACGCGCACATGACACATAATGAGCCGGTAACGAGACGGAAACTGCCGCAAGGATGTAGTTCTGAGTGTTTTCGCATTACAGACAAGCCTCGGTTAAATGAGCAATTCGCAGTGAACGGATATGTGACATGTGGAGCGAGTGCGAAAGCACGATCGACGATCGACCAAAGAAATCCAACTTTAGTAAGTTGTCCGTGGCACGTCGGCTAAACCAGCTCTTTTCTTCCGAGGGCCGCCGCTGTGAAAAGGTCGAGGCCCAACCGCCCACCTGGACTGCGCCTGTGCAGGGTTTGCAGCCCAGGCCGCTACGTCTGCATTGCGGCCGCGGCTCACTTCTTCCATTCGGCTTCCGCGATGGCAACCATGTCCTTCAAGGCTTTCAGCAAAGCTTTGAGGTTTTCGGTTCTCGGGTAGCGGGTCTTTTGCATGAAATCGGTCACCGTTTTCTGCAGGCCTTGGTGGTTCAAAATGGTTTCCGGGACTTCTTGCAGAACAGCTTGCAATTGTTGGATGCTCGGGCGGTCTTTGCTGCTGTCGACTTTGCCCTCGAGCTCAGCTAGGAATTCTTTGAGCGCGTCGACTTTCTCCAAAGGCCAGCCGGTCACGTCCAAGCTCGCCGACGCCTTCGCGTCTTCTTGGGAGGACGCTAGATCGATGTCCTTTGAGTCGTCCTCCGCATCCGATGCCAAGGGCCCTGCCTTCTTTGCCGGCTGCTTGCTCGTCAGCTTGCCGCCTTTTCCTTTGGAAGTCTTTTTTGCCCGCTGCGCTTCCCAAGCGTCGTCTTCTGCATCGTCCCCATAGAGCTCGGCACCGCCCTTGCCCCACGCTGCGGCCGCCGTGGGCTCTTCGTCCCAATCGTAGGTTGCAGCAGCACGCTTTTTCACGCCAGCTTCGAGTTTTTGGTGTTGAAGGCAGCCACCAAAGACCATACCAAGGCTTCCTGATCCTCGGGCGCGCGCACCACGCCTTGCAATCTTCCGGTAAAGCCGCTTGCTGCCCAACTGCATGCACGCCAGCTGCCATGACCTTTGGGTTGGACAGGGCGGTGATCGCTTCAAGGCCTTCAAAAGCAAAGATATATAACCGCGCCGTGAGGCGCAGCAACTTCCGGAAAGCCGCTTCTTTTTCTGCGGGCTCGTGGGTCAAGAAGCGAACAAAGCGTTTCACGGCCGCGGCCGTAGCTCCCTCGTTGCGTTCCACTTCAGTGTTGGCAGTGTTCAAGTACGCGCATGCTTCCAAGAATTTCTTGCCATTTGCAGTCTGGAACTGCTCGAGTAATGGCTGAATGCCAACTTTCTTCAAACCGGCGCCGGCGTCCTCGCCGAAGTGGTGCTGCAACGCTCCAGCGCCAACCTCGAAGTTCGCAGCGCCTTCCGAGAGCGCAATGCCCTGCCGCGCGCAATACTCCGAGGAGTCCTCGCTCAGAATGTTGCGTAGGTGGTATGAGGAGAGCAGCTCGGATTCTTGGACGCCATTGGCAGAGAACGGGCTGCCAGCTTGATCCACGTAAGGGCGAAGGTACCACTTGGAAAGCCGATTTTCCCAAGAAACCTTTTTCACATAGTCTTTCTTTTCGCCGAAGGCCTTGCCCTTCGCTTTCCCGCCGCTGCCTTTGCCCTTGCGAGCGCTCCAAGCACCTTTGCCCCAGGACGACATGACAGCAGCTAGCGCGGGATAGGGCCGAAGAGGCAAGATGAAGCACGACAAGGTAAAGCTGTGAGCCAACAAACTTCGAGAAAACCCTTGACCCGCAGGCGAGCTCATTCTTTGAAATTTCAATACGAACAGCTAGAGGGATGCGCAACTGCGAGACAGGATCTGGCAAGCTAGAGCAACATCAGCAAAGGCGTCTCCACAACAGTCAACTTCTCAAAGCAACATGATCGAAATTTGATATAAAACACAAATCCTTGGCACTAGCTGGTCAGCCGGCCGTGTAAAGATCGATTTTCCGCGTTGCACGCCTTGGATTCACAATGCCACCGGCAACTGCTAACAGAGCCCTGTACCTTAGAGGCAACAAGCCCGTGGACAGAAGCCATCAACAGAAAACAGTGCTTATTACTATAGAAGGTAACCGGGCGTAACTCTTAAACGGCTGGGGAGGTATGCCTTTACAAAGCCCGGGCAGCGCTAAGGTAATAGGGCGTCACTCTTAAGCGGCTCACGAAGTGTTCATACGCATCCATCTCAATGCGCCGGGCTTCCCTGCGGTAATCCTGCGTCACTCTTAAACGGCCTGCGAGGCGGCTATACTGAGGGTCCCACCGGCGCGACGGTAATTTCGTGTCACTCTTAAACGGCCTGGGGCTTGTCACTTGTCTGCATCTCGGTTCTCCTTTAGATCTAGCTCCGGTAGAACAGATTGCTTCACACAGGCGTCTGCAAGTCACAGCGTTTCCCGCTCATGCCTTTGCCTGCGCCTTTCTCCTTGAAACTGCCCGGGGGCAAAGAGGAAAATGTTGCCCAAGTCTGCCCAGTCACAAGTGGCCTAAACGCAGCCCAAGTCACTTTACTATGTACAGTGGCGTCTCGCCCTATTAGGTTTAAGTTTTCGAGGTCCGTGCCCATGCCAGCCGAAGCTGCACCGGGTTGCCAGTCCGGTGTTGCACTCACGTCCGCCCTCAATAATAATAGAAAGCTACAATTTTAGTTGTCGAAATCGACCGGTTTAGGGGGCCTAAACCCCGTAACGTCGAAGTAGGGAGGCGTCCGTGAAAATTCGAAATCGCATCTTTCAGCCCGATGGTGTAAGGGCTATATTTTCGCTTCGAGAGCAACTTTTTCCCGAAGCGAAAATTCCCAAAAGGTCGCCTCCGGGCAGGTTTTGGGCGGTAACGCCGGGTAACGCTTCAAACGCTGTAGCGTTACCACCGGTGGGCGCGCTACAGCGTTACCACCGGCTAGGGGGGTAAACCTCGCTACCGGGACTGTTGCTTACAGGGTTTACCCCCCCTAAACCTCGTTGGTTTCATTGCTTGCTCTAGGGTTTTGGCTCCCTAAACCGTTGGCACCTTAGACTGAGAGCGGCGCGCCGCAGCGTTACCGCCGGTGAGGGGGGTAAACCTCGCTACGTGGACGGTGGCTTATGAGGCTTACCCCCCCTAAACCTTGTTGCTTTCATTGCTTGCTCCAGGGTTTTGGCCCCCTAAACCGTCGGCTCCAGATGGAGTACGAGAGCTATTTGGGCGGCCCGGGAGGCTGCAGAGAGCCATTTGGATTGCCCGGGAAACTCCAGAGACCGACTTGGACAGCCCAGGAGGCAGCAGAAGGCTATTTGGATAGCCCAGGAGGCAGCAGAAGGCTATTTGGACAGCCCGGGAGGCTCCAGAGAGCCATTTGAGAGGCAATTGAAGGGTTTAGGCCCCCTAAACCTTTGCATAGGGCGTCTGTCCGGGAGGCAGCTTAAGGGTTTAGGCCCCCCCTAAACCTTTGCATAGGGCGTCTCTCCAGTCGTGGGGTTTAGGGTAATACAATGTATCAATGATCAAAGCATCGTGACAGATGCAGGTCTGGCTCAACCTGCTGGGGAGGCTCCAGTTCAGGACTGGCTCGCAAGTTTTGCAGCCCAACAAAACTTGCAGCGCCTCGCTGACACGCTCGGGCAGCGCCCGCTCACCCCATTAGGTGATGTAGGGGTGGCGGGCGGGTTTAGGGCGTCTCGGCCGCGTGGCAGCAGATGATCATATGCGAAGATGGCACCGCCCCCTTTTCTTTAAAAATAGAGGGGGTGGTGGCATCTTAGCGGTTGCCGGTTTATCGTTGTCGGTCGTTTTCCACCCCACAAGACATGTGGTGGTTGATTACAATCCCACCCGCCGCCAGAAGTGGCAGGCTACCACCCAACTTTCCACCTTTTAGGGTTTAGGGCTCCGCCCTAAATTCCCACGACCGGATGACTCCAGTAATCTGCCAAGGCAAGACCAATTGACTCCAGTAATCTGCCAAGGCCAGATTTGATTTTGCTTGCCCGGGAGACAGCCAAGCGCCATGGGAGACCATTTGACAGCCCGGGAGGTGCCAAGATTGGACAGCCTGCGAGGCACCAGGGAGGCAGGAAAGGACCAATTGGACAGCCTGGGAAGCACCAGGGAGGCACCAAAGAGGCAGGAAAGGACTAATTGGACAGCTTGGGAGGCACCAGGGAGGCACCTGGGAGGCAGGAAAGGACCAATTGGACACCAGGGAGGCGCCAGGGAGGCTGGAAAGGACCATTTGGACAGCCTGGGAGGCACCAGGGGCTGTTAAAGGCAATCCTGTGCTACGAGAGCTATGTTGCCGTGTAGAGGGCTTCCCGCCCCAGTTTTAGGGTATTCCCTTCGTAGGGAAAATCAAGGTATCCTTGTAAAGGATTGGCACAGCGATAGCTGTCCTGAGGCAAAGCTAAGCCTTGAGGCTCTATTAGACCACTCTTCAATGGCACCACCCATTGTTCTACCATGAGCTGGTGTGATGGGCTGTCGGGTATCTTCAGTGTCTGGCCACCCAGAAGTGGGTGGGAACGGCCTAAGCAGGCCGGGTGGGAATTTAGGGTTTTAGGGTTTAGGGTTTAGGGTTTGTACCGAGGGCGCGGCCGGAGGTCCATTTCGTCGCGTATCTTCGTCGCCGCTTGGGCATGAGCACCGTGGCACTAGTTTCCGGAGTTGTGTTCCGCATCCTTCTTTTTTCCCACCCGCGCCGCTTGTGGGCGGCTCCCACCCGGCGTTCGCTCCGCCTTTTAGGGTTTAGTTCCTAAACTAGGAACTACAAACATGTGCCATCTCTCTTCTTACGATTTTTTTTCACAATTAAAGATCAAGGGGGGTAAACCTGAAGTAGATGACTCCAGTAGTCTGCCAAGGCCAGGCCAGGGGGGTAAACCCCAAGTAGAGGCCAGAAATCCAATTTCCACGCCGCGCCCAAAAATGGTCAAATTCATTGTTAAATCTATTGCTGGGTTTACCCCTTTGCCTCGAAACGTGGAGGGGAGCCCATTTGGAGGGTAAACCCCGGGCGGTCAGGGGGGTAAACCCCAAGCTTAGCCCAGTCAAAGGGGTAAACCCAAAGCGAGGCTAGGGGGTAAACCCCAGGCCAAGGGGGTAAACCCCAAGTAGATGACCCCAGTAATCTGCCAAGGCCAGGCCAGGGGGGTAAACCCCAAGTAGAGGCCAGAAATCCAGTTTCCACGCCCGCCACAAAATGGTCAAATTCATTATTAAATCTATTGCTGGGTTTACCCCTTTGCCTCGAAACGTGGGGGGGAGCCCATTTGGGGGGTAAACCCCGTGTAGTCAGGGGGGTAAACCCCAGGCTTAGCCCAGTCAAAAGGGTACACCCAAAGCAAGGCTAGGGGGGTAAACCCCCGGCCAAAGGGGTAAACCCCAAGTAGATAACTCCAGTAATCCGCCAAGGTCAGGCCAGGGGGGTAAACCCCAAGTAGAGGCCAGAAATCCAATTTCCACGCCCGCCCAAAAATGGTCAAATTCATTATTAAATCTATTGCTGGGTTCACCCCTTTGCCTCAAAACGTGGGGGAGAGCCCATTTGGGGGGTCAACCCCGTGTGGCCAGGGGGGGTAAACCCCAGGCTTGGCCCAATCAAAAGGGTAAACCCAAAGCAAGGCTAGGGGGGTAAACCCCAGGCCAAAGGGGGTAAACCCCAAGTAGATGACTCCAGTAATCTGCCAAGGCCAGGCCAGGGGGGTAAACCCCAAGTAGAGGCCAGAAATCCAATTTCCATGCCCGCCAAAAAATTGTCAAATTCATTATTAAATCTTTTGCTGGGTTTACCCCTTTGCCTCGAAACGTGGGGGGGAGCCCATTTGGGGGGTAAACCCCGTGTGGTCAGGGGGGTAAACACCAGGCTTAGCCCAATCAAAAGGGTAAACCCAAAGCAAGGCTAGGGGGGTAAACCCCCGGCCAAGGGGGTAAACCTGAAGTAGATGACTCCAGTAATCTGCCAAGGCTAGGCCATGGGGTAAACCCCAAGTAGAGGCCAGAAATCCAATTTCCACGCCCGCCAAAAAATGGTCAAATTCATTATTAAATCTATTGCTGGGTTTACCCCTTTGCCTCGAAACGTGGGGAGGAGCCCATTTGGGGGGTAAACCCCGTGTGGCCAGGGGGGGTAAACCCCAGGCTTAGCCCAAGCAAAAGGGTAAACCCAAAGCAAGGCTAGGGGGGTAAACCCCAGGCCAAGGGGGGTAAACCCCAAGTAGATGACTCCAGTAATCTGCCAAGGCCAGGCCAGGGAGGTAAACCCCAAGTAGAGGCCAGAAATCCAATTTCCACGCCCACCAAAAAATTGTCAAATTCATTATTAAATCTATTGCTGGGTTTACCCCTTGGCCTCGAAACGTGGGGGGGAGCCCATTTGGGTGGTAAACCCCGTGTGGTAAGGGGTGTAAACCCCAGGCTTAGCCCAGCCAAGGGGGTAAACCCAAAGCAAGGGGGTGTAAACCCAGGTCAAAAAGTTAATTATAAAAAACATTTTCGGAAAATGTTTTTTATTATCCCTCCGACTGGCACAATCACCTCAGGGTTTAGGGTTCTATTTTTAATTAATGGGCAGTACTGCCTGAATCATTTAGCCAGTACTGGCTCGAAGTGCTGAAGGTCGTGGCAGACGCATACAATATAGTGGAATAGTACTTGTCACGTGACAAGTACTTCTCATGTGAGATGTACACAAGGGCGGTCAGCGTGGGGCTCTGCTGGGGCGAGCGGCTCTAGCGAGCCGCCGCCCGAGGCAGGCCCCCCTAGTTTAGGGTTTAGGGTTTAGGGTGTTTACAGTGCCGCGGCGGCGCCTCCCCAAGATGTGTCGAGGGGAGGCGCGCCGCTTTCGTATTGGGTTTCCCACCCCCGCCGCCCAAACTTGCACCTTTTATGGGTTTAGGGTTTTTTTGAAAACCCTCGGGACTGCGCGTTTCTTCTCTAGGGTAGGTGGATTAATCATTGTAGCGGACGCCCGTTACACAAATCTCTATATTTATGCTGGCGCAGGGCTTGGTCGTGGAGAGGCGATTTGGGTCACAGAGAGTGCTCTGTTGGAGATGGGGGTGTTGGCGCACTTTGGTCTACTAGCATCGACATTTGCGCACTGGGATGTACACATTGCTTCTCAAAGTTTTGGATCGAATTGAAAGTCGATGTCAATATCCACTCCCCCCAAAAAAAAGCGATCCCTATTTTCACCCCCGAGCCAAGTGATGCCAAGCTACTTCGGGCAATGCACGCAGGGCGTTGGCGGTCGGGGGCCCCAGGCGCGGACTTCGCGCTCCGCCCGTGCGCAAGAACCGCCCGAGCGGCGCAAGCGCTGTAAGCCACAACGTTAGACGCCAAAGCCACGCGACAAGGCAGCATGAAATTGACCGCATTAGTGGAATTCAGAGGGGTGGCTCCACGTAGCACGGCAGCGACACGGCTGGGAGACAACTTTGACACGGCGCGTTCGGGGCGAGCACCGAGGGTCGGAAGTGAGATGGCTGCGGGCTAAGGCAATGTAACGGGGCAGGAAAGTAAGACAGCCGAACGCGACGACCCGAAAAAACCTTCTCGACGACCCGACAAAACCTTCTCGCGGATCCGTTGCGGTGCACTTGCCTTTTTAACGCCTGGCCACACAGCAGTGCAGCAAGAAGCTCACCGATGCAGTCAAGGGTGCCCAGGCTGTCACGGCGGCCCCAGGAGCGCGAGCTCGACGAAGGTGATCACAAAATAGAATCCCAGGGACGCAACTTGAAGCAGCGCCACCGCGCCTTCGTCTTCTGCTTCGGGAAAGAAGAGGCGGTAGCGCCACGCCCCGGCACGGGCCAGCGCCAGCAAGGCGTCGATCGTGCCGGGGGGGTTGAGGTCCGCGAAGGCTTCGAGGACGTCCGGCGCCAGGCCGCGCGCGGCGAGCCAGTCGTCCAAGGCGTCTGCGTCCGGGACATCGTCGGGAATGCCGGCAGCGAAGCGCGCCGTGCGATCGGTCAAGGTGGACATGCCCAGACCGAGCACGTCCGCCGTCGCCACGGCGCTGTCCGCCATGCCGGGGCAGGCAATGAAAGCGCCCCGTGTTGTCTGTAGCGCCCAACGGACACGCTCCCACAGAGCGCGCGCAGCGACGGCAAAGGCCAACGCGGCGGAGCCGTGTGTCGGCACACCCAACCCGCCGGGCAGAGACGCGACGCGGTAGTCGGCGAAGAGCAGGTGCTGCTGCGCCAAGGCTGCGGCGTCCGGCGCGGGGAACGCCGCGGCTGCTCGGGCCAGCCGTCCCAACGTGGGTACGTCGAGCCATTCGTGGGCGAGCTGAATGGCGAGGACGGCGTGCTGCATGAGGGCTGCGGTGCAAGCGCGACGCGGGGCGAAGTGCAAGGCGGAGAGTCGCTACTCGCCGGGCTTGTGCCAAACGGTGCGGCATAGCCAACCGAGCGTTTCAGTCTGCGCCGCAGAGACCGCGACGCGATGTGTCCATGCACCGGCATCGCCCCCCGTCCAACGTTTTATACTTGCTCCCGATGGAAACAAAAAACTGCAGGAAACCAACGCCCGCGAAACACCGGCCCCGTCCACGCGTCCCCGATCAACGTCCGATGGACTCTGCGGACGTCCCTTTATTTTTTCCTCGTCGCGGTCGGGACCGGAACAGCGAGTCGCATTGGCCCCTGCTCTGTGACAACTGGAAAATTATGACGAGGCCGAGCTGGCGCCGGAAGACCGGCTTGGGCTCGCGTCCCAGGAAATACCTTCGTGGAACACGAGGGCGCACCCGACCGTTTCGACAGTGACGTAGACAATGTACCACGCGCAGCGTCGGCCCGGCCGCGGCCACGTCCCAAGCCACGGTCGCACGCCGGCCGGGCGCGTGGGCGCCACCTCGTTGGGTAGCCACATCTGCGCCCGCACGTGCGCCGCCAACCAGGCGACGGCGTCGGTCCAGGCGCGGGATGTCTCGGTCGGCTGCAGGTTCACCGGGGCGAACCACGCGCGGTGCGGCAAGCCGGCGCCGCGGAGAAACTGCGCGAGGCGGCCCGGGCGCTGCAGCGTGAGGCCACAGCGCAGGAGGAAGTCCACGACGCCGAAGGGCGGGCCATGAAAGTCGAAGCCCACGTACCCTACGCCGGCGCGGCGGAACATCGGCACCCGGAAGCCGCCTGTAGCCAACAGTTCCAAATGTCGCTGCGCCTCTTCAAGCTGGTCGTCGATCCACGTCTGCAGCGCCGGCAGCAGCAGCGCGAGGTCTGGGCACGTCAGGCACAGGGCCACGGCGCCGCAGGGCGGCAGCCAGCGAAAGATGTCCCAGTGGATTGCAGTGGGCTGCCCCGACAAGGTCGCCATGCGTGGGTCGAAGAGGGTAAGCGCAAAGCACGACAGCGATGGCTAGAGCGAAAACGACTACGGCTATTGTGTCGTTTGTGTCTTCGTCTCGGATGCAACCAAATGATCACGACTGCTGAGGATCCGTATGTCCAAGCAAAACGACACACTCGCGCTCCGCGCCCGGCTTTGTTTTACCGCGAGCTCTGATCCGACGACGCGCCGCTCTCACTTCACTGCGCTTCGAAGAGGTGCGCGCGGGTGCGAAGCCAGGTTTCCAGCATGGTGTCCACCTGATGCTCGAGCTCCAGGACGTATGCGAGCAGATGGTCCAGGTCGCGGGTCACCAAATGGAGATCACGACGGAACGACGTCAGGACGCCGGGCGCGAGAGCAGGCGGCACCCCCTGCAGCCGCAGCTCGACGAAGCGGACCATGCTGACCGCTGCTTCGACGTCAGCGCGGATGGCCCCGACCAGGGCCGCGTAAGCGGCAACGTGGCGCAGCTCGACCGCTGCGTCCATATATGCGTGCTGCGCAAGTGGACAGAGGCAGCGAGGCGGCGGGGCGACTCAACCCCCTTGGAGCCAGTGGCTTCGAAGCTGAAAGGTATGATTGTGGTCGACTCCAGGGGCAGAGCATAGAGCACGAGCATGCTCCATCAGAATTTGGTCGAGCACGACAGCGGTGGGCTGACATCATTTTCGAAACTGGCTTGTCATTGAGCTAGTAGTGCACTACCGACGGCTGTCCGAAAAAACCACAACACGCCCCCGCGTCGCGCCCAGCCGGTCTTTTCTTTACCGCATCGTCACTGGCGTGAAGTGCTGCGGGGTGAGACGTCCGCCGAGCAGGTACGAGGCGCTGTTTCGCACCCGGCTCAAGGCGGTATAGCCGACCGCCGGCATGTTAGCCGTGTCCAAATACACGATGATAAAATCGAATTCGTCGCCTTGCACCTTGCGCACGGTGGCGCAGTACCCCAGGCGAACCGGAAAATAGACCAGGCGAGCGTGGTCAGGGTCGTGCCAGCGCGTCACCGGCAGGCGTTTCCCGGTCTCAGTTCGCACCCAGAGGATTTGCCGGGCCTCGTCGAAGGAGAGGACGTGGCACCGCATGCCGTTGATGTAGTCGTCGGCCTTCCGCACGTTGCGCGTGAGGTAGAGCTGCAGGCCGCGGTGCACGGGTACATCTGCCGGGACCGGAGCACGGTCGTCGCGGAGCTTGCCGCTGACGTAGTTGGTCGGGTTGTCCTCGAAGGCCCCAGGGATGGTGGCGAGTGGCTGGGCCCTTGGGTGCAATGCTTCCACAGCCAGGGCGTTGATGGTGGCCACGCCCGTCTTCGTGGCCGCCACGAAGGTGGCATCGGGGTGTTGCGCCAACAAACGGCCGATGTCCGCGACATCCGGCGCGTCGCCCTGCCAGGCCTTGCGCCCTCTGCAGATGTTGTTGAGCTGAAGTTTCGTCGGCATGGCCGTCCGCAGCAGCTGCAGCGTCTCCAGGAAGGTCGGGTCATCGCAGCGGAAAATTTGATGGAGCTCCACGAACGACAGGTTCTTGACCGACCAGGCTGCGCTCTCCCAAGGCCGGATGGGATCTACGCCCGGCAGTTGGTACTTGTCCCCCAGGAAGACCAGCGCCGGGAGGCAGTCCGCCGCGCGCCAGATTCGCAGCAAGCGCTCCAGATCCGCGGCGCTCAACTGGGAGAACTCGTCCACGACCACCAGGTCGTAGCCGTGCATGGCATAGAGGGCTTCCTGCTCAGGCTTGTGGAGCTGAAAGGCGGCGGCGAAGGTGTCCACCAGCAAGCCTGCGTGCGCCCCAAGCTTGTCCGCCATGCGGGTCGCTAGGCGGGCAGTAGGTAGCGCCACGCACACGGCGCCGCCAGCAGCGAGCGCCTCCCGCACGTTTCGGTGGACCATCGTAGTCTTGCCCGTGCCAGGGCGTCCCGAGCACACGACCGGGCGATGCGCCGAGCCGCGAGCTTCTTCTCGTAGCCGCTCTTCTTCCTGCTCCGTGTTCGCGCTCCGCGCGGCGACTGCCAGGGCGACTCGTCTCCCTACGGCCTTGCGCAGCATGGCCTGCTTCCCTTCGAAGCACATGGCGGCAGGCGCCGGAGCTGGTCCTCGCGGCGCGGCCCCTGCTGGTTCTTCCTGACAGTCTAGCTGGCCGGACAGGTATCTGTCGATGGCCAGGGTTTGCCCGGCCAGGAACTCCTTCACGTCCTGCACAAAGGAGTCGGAGTCTCCCTCCATGTGCATCTCGGCTTCGGCCCTCTCGAAATCTCGCCAGAAGCGATGCAGCTGTGCAGGCACCAGACGGCAGTCGTCAGTGAGCAAGAGGGCCGTGGCAAACCAGCGGTACCGCTCGGGCACCCGATCACGGACGGCCGGCACGTCGAAGAAAGCCATGCTTCTGAAGGGCAAGTGCATGACGCACCACTGGCCGTAGTACATGTCATTGAGCCGATATAGGAACTCCACTGCCACCAGCTGCTCCCCGCGCATGGGGTACTTGTTGGCAAAGTCTTCCAAGGAGTCCGCCGGCGCGCCGGCAGCGGCCGCAGCGCTGACGTGGGCACGATGCTTCTGCCGCAGCCAGCCCGCAATCGCGCCGCCGTCCTCGCCACCGGTCTTGCGCAGGAATTCCAGCAGCGACATGTCTTCGCGGCGCCAGCCGCTGTCCATGTAAGCCCGCACCCACGTCGGCTGCTCCGGATTGCTCGGGCGCGGCGCACGCACAGAGCGGCGGCCGCCCATGGCTGAGCCAAACTCCCACTGGCGAAACGTGGCCCCTGTCAGCTGCAGCACCATCTCCGGCTCCAGCGGGTGGTACTCGAAGAGAACCTTGCGGCAGAGGCTGGTCGCGCTCGTAGCATCCGACATCCATTCGTCGTAGGAGGAGTCCGACCACTTAGCCACGTATTTGGCAACGTAGGTCAGCAGCAGCCCGCGGCCTTGTGAGACCTGCAAATCTTGGTGGCACTTCAGCGCACTCATCACATCAGGGAAGTAGCCGCGCACGCCCTCTGCCGCGTCGTCCTTGGTGTGCCGCAGCCGCAGCGCGCCAGACGCCGCATCAAAGTCCGAGGGACCCTCGTGCACCGGCCACCGGCTCTCCCCGTGCTGATCCAACTGCGAGCCGCGGACATACGGGATCAAGGCTTCCTGGTCCCCGGACAAGTCGAGGGTGGCGGCCGCCACTCCGGCAAAGTCTAGCTGCGCGAGGTCTCTCACCCAGAACAGCGCATGCACGTGTGGGCGGCCGCTGCCGTGGTACCGCTGCGTCCCGGGCTTTTTGGACCCATCCTGGAACTCGATCCGGGTAAAGAAGTTGATGCAGCCCATGGAGCGGTCCCCAGGCTCCGTCTTGCAGCGCAACAAGTGCTGCGTCCATCCTTTTCCTTTGGTGGTGTTCGAGTGTCCGGCAATGTAGCCGCGGCAGATCTGCGTCATGGTGCGCGCCAAGTGCATGGCCTCGAAGGCCGGGAGGTGCAGGCGGCCGCGCAACAACTTCTGCATCTCGTCGAGCAGGTATTGGTTGTACGGGTAGCTGAACTCATAGGGCGCCAGCGTCCAGTAGACGTCCGGGTAGCCTATCTGTCGGACCAAGTCGAAGAGCCCGTGCTTGATGTCTGCCCAATATAGAGGCGACATGGGGTGTCCGCTCATCATGATGCGCATGGAGATGTCTCCAGCGGCGCGCCCCTTTTTGCTCCCCAAATCTGTCCAGAGGTGGAGATCGTAGACATACTGCAGGAGCTCGAAGTCTGCGCCGTACCCCAACCAAGGTCCCAGCAGCTTGGTTTGGAAGCTTCTCTTCACGCTGTGGCGCCGTTCAGCAGGCAGCTGACCTCCTTCGCCCGGATCGTCTCCGTGGGCGTCTGGGTCCTCGTCACTGCTGCCGCACTGCTGCCGGGGGGCCGCATCCCCGAGCCAATGCTGGAGCCGCTTGTGGGTGAGGCGCTCATAAGACTCACACATGGTAGTCTTCCAATAGAGATGGGGCCACAGGGCGTTCTCTAGGCCCACTTCTTCAATGAAGTGCAGGGGGCGCTTGGCTTCCACGGCCGTCGGCGCAGTGTGCCGGCGAAGAAAGTCTCGCTGGCGCCGGTAGTAGTCCTTGTACTCGTTCTCCTCAGCCTCGAGCAAGTAATGCAGGGCGGCCTTGGCTGCCCGGCGCTCGGCCCGGGGCAACGCCCGCACTTTGTCTGGAACGCTCTGCAGCGCCCACGAAAAGGTGATCATGCGGACTTTCTTCCTGTAGCCGGCCTCCGCCCGAACCTCGGGCCCCACGTCCACATCCAGGGGCCGCAGCGCAGCAACGATGGAGACAGTCAGGTTCTGCAGGGGCGGCGGCGCATCTTGCCGCTGCGGCGCCAGGTGCGGCTGCGACGCCCGGCAGCGCCGACAGGCGCTCGGGGCAACTTCTGGAAGCGCCGTCTTGGTCAGATCGTCCGGCCGGAGCGGGCGCGGCTGTAAGATGGCGCACGTAGGGCACATGCCCCAAGAGCCTTGGCGGCACCAGTTCTCCAAGGCCGCCGCCGAAGTGGAAATGTGGGCAGGCGGCAGGTCGTCCTGGTTGTCGACGACGGCGTCCAGCTCCGCCGGCGGAGCCTTCTCTCGGCGCGGGGCGCTGGGAAAGAAGCGCTTTTTCCCGCGGCGTTGGTCCGCCAAGACCGTGGCCCTGTAGGCCTTCTTGGCCGCCGAGCTCGGCGCCGCCACAGCGGCTTGGCGCTTTGCAGCGCAGGCACCCCAGCAATCGGTCGACCCCGCGCGGCCGCGCTTCCGGGCGCCGGGCTGGGCAGGTTCCGGCCTCGAGCGCTTGGGCTTGGCGGCTGCGGCCTCCAGCTCCTCGCGCGCGTGGGGCGCCCACAGCGAGACCCGCGCCAGAGCCAAAGTCCAAATCTCAGGCCTTGCCTCCGCATGGGCGCGCAGCGCCTTCAAGACTCGCACCATTGCCGCCCGGCCGCCGCGGCGCTCGAGGGCCGCGGAAAGGCTTGCTTGGGAGCATAGGGCGCAGTGCGTCGACCCCCTGCTCGCATGAGCCCTTTCTCCCGCACGCTTGGTGTTGAAGGAGCATGCCACGGTCCCGAAGCCTGTGCAGAAATGTGTTTTTCCGGCAACCTGCGGGTCTCTTGCCGACGAGGGCTTTCCGACTCGGCGACCGCTTCCGCCGGAGTCCGGGCTGGGCAGGATAAGCCCCAAGTGCATCCGGCTGTTTGCCACGCAGCCGGCGGCGCACGGCCCCTTCGCCGGAACGGGCTTCGACCGCGCCCCGACCGGGCCGTGACTCCGCGGCATCCAGGCTCGGGGGTGTGAGCCACCGCGCCCCCGCATTAGGCGCTCTGGACGCCGCTTCGGAGTCGAAGGCTTCCCAGCGCGCCCGGGTGATCCACTGAACGCACCCACGAGCCACGGCCGGAGGAACTTGCACGGGCTGTGGCAAGAGCTGCATCTCCTCGATGGGCCAGGCCCACGGCCGCGCGTAGCCCGTGGCGGCGAGCGCCTCTCGATTGTCATCTTCTTCCACGGCAGTCAACGCGCGGCTAGGTCCGAAGCGAACTCGACACATCACTTGCTGCGATCCGGTGGTGGCCAGGGATACCCAGCCGACATGCGGGCACGGAGACCCTCGAATTTCCAAGTGCTTTGCTCCCATCAGAATCTTGTCAAGCCAATAGGGGCGCACCTTCAAGATGCGTTGAGTGGTGCCGAAAGCCACAGCGGCGGAAGCCCAAGTCTGCGGCGCGGCGGCAGTGGCGGCGGGGGAGGCTGCTGGAGAGGCCATGTGACGGGAAGCGAATCGATGATCCGACCCACGCGCGCGCGGTCGGAAAGCAGTCTCGTATAATATCAACGCGTATGTCACCTTGTCCGGATGTCCCTCGCCGTGAATGCGTGTGTGGGGGCGTCTGTAGACACTCAGCCCAAGACAGAGCTAAAGCCCAAGAGCCACGGCGAGAAGCGCGCGCAGAACGCCAAACGACGCGGCCGGAGTGAGGCGGACGACGCTGCGAGCCCGACGAACGGTGGCACGACTCGCGCGACGGCACATGACCGCATGGAAGCGCGCTGGCGCTCGAGCTCTTTTTACTTCCCGGGCGCAAGCAGTCCGAGGCTCCAACACGCAGTGTCTAAGGTTGGATAAGTCTTACGTGAAGGTGGCCAAAGCAGCGCAATCACGAAGGGCGAGACAACACAGAGACACTTGTTTCATGAAGTGTGGGTTTTCAAACCATGCAGCACAAAGAGAGAAAGAATTACAGGAAATGTGACTGTTAACGGTTCTACCTTTCACGGTTTTAAGCTGAGCGATGGGATCGATTGCGCTGCCAACATGTCGCCAGAATCAAAAGAACATTGAGTGACTACGGCTTGCCCTCAACTGCGTCCTCCCTGCGCGGGGGCTCTTCTCCGCCCGGCGCTGCCGTCGGCTCCGCCACCGCTGCCGTGTTTGGCGCCTCCGGCACGAAGGGGAGTGCTGTGCGCCCAATGGCGTCCAAGCGCTGGAAGATGTCATCCAGCTTCGCTTCCCGGGGCAGGCGTGTCAATGTCTTCAGCGCGGGCAAAGCCTCCGCGAGCCCGTGTGCTCGGAGCACGTCTGCCGGAACGTTGTCCAGGACAGAGATCAAGGCAGACAAAGTCAAACGCTGTGAGTCGCCCTTGGGCTTGCCCCTGGCCACGGCCGCGTCCGCCACGGCGGCGGCGAAGGCACGGATGTCTGTTGCCCCCCAGGCCGCATAGTCCACCGCCTCCAGCTGCACTTCTTCAGGCGTGCTGGGCGGCTCCTCCGTGCTGATGCTCAGGGCTCCTTTCCCGTCATCCTTCTTCTCCTTCTTCTTCGGCGGGGCCTTCGTCTTCCTCTTTTTGGAGCCGCCGTTCGATGATCCGCCCTCAGCGTCCGAACTCTGGGCTTTCCTCTTGGGTTGGTCGTCCTTGGACTCCTTTTTCGTCTTCTTGTCCGGTTTGGTTTTCTTCGTCTGGCCCTTCTTCGCTTTCTTCTCCTTGCTCTTCCGTTTCGGGGGCTCGGTGTCCGAACTACCGTCCGACGGTGAGCTAGAAGGTGCTCTGCAAGGTGGCTTGGCCCTCTTCCCGCGCTTCTTGCACTTCTTCTGCTTCTTCTTGTGCTTGCTGGCGGACGAGTCGGTGCTCGCCTCGTTGGAATCGGACAAGGACACCGACGAAGATGCCGCGGCAGCGGCGAGATCGCCGAAGCGCTTGCGCCGCCCAGGGTTCTTGTCTGGGTCGTCCTTCAGCCACTTGGCGACAGCGCGGTAGAGCTTGTCCCCAGCTTCGGGATCTTTCAGCCAAGCTTGAAGGTGTTTCGAGTGCTTGGTGCGTTCTGGAACCTCCTTGGCCCAAGTCTTGAAGTCGCCGCCGACGGCCGCGACCTCCAGGATGGACATCAGGGCCAGGTAGACAGCCGCGGCGGCCTCTGCTGCAGCTGCCAGGGAGTCGCCGTGGTCTCGGGCGATGTGGCGAATGCCTCGTAAGAATGCCTTGCAAGCGTTTTCGCCCTCCGCCGGGTCCCGCTCGACATCACGGCACAGGTTGAGGCGCCGCACTGCGCCCAGAAACGGCTCCGCCTCCAAGACGCCGTGCAGCTGCTGCAAGTGCGTCTCCAAGCCTGCGGCAAAGACCGTGAAGCCGTCCACAGAAGCAGCGGCCAGGTTGAGGCCCATCAAGGGGCGCCGCAACAATTCGGAGCAGCTCGAGTCCAGGGTCGTGCGCAGCCGGGCCGGCTGCAGGGCTTCCGGTGGCGACATCAATGGACGTCCGGTTTCGTCTGGGTAGGACCTCAGGAGCCATTTCCCCAAAAACTTGTACAGATCAACTCGCTTCACGTAGGGCGTCTCCTGTCCCACGGCTGCTGCCTTTTTGCCCTTGCCCTTGCCACCCATGGTTCGGACCGACAGGTGAGAAGGAGCGCCCGCAAAGAAATAAAGCTATAGCGTCAGCCAAGAAAGCTAGGGTAACAAGCGCGAAGACCGATCAGATGAAGATCTCCGTGCATACCAGCGATGAGACACACGCTCAACACACGAGCTACAGAACAAGGAAAACTGCTGAATCAATGGGACTGATATACTGCACCGCATGCAAGTGGCCTCACGTGAAAAGCACACCAATCGCTCCGCGCTCGCGGAGGCGGTCCGTTTTCACGCGTGCCAAGAAGCGACGCCAGTGAGTCACAGGCGCAGGCCGGTCCTCCTTTTGCCGACCTGTGTTGCCCTCTCATGGGCTTGTTCTTTTCTTGTTTTGGCCATCTTCTGGGGGCCGTGTATCACCGAGCCACAGATCATTCGTCGCCCACGGTCTCGGCGAGGAGAGACACCACGGGCAAAGCAGCGTGCGAGTCGATGGTGCAGACGTCGCAGGAGCAAAGCCGCGGGCGCGCAAGGGGCGTGAGGCCGCATACCTGAGTGCGACAAGTCAAAGACCGATAGCGTCTCTGTTTGTCTGGCCGTCTGTCTGTCTATACATGTATTGGTGTGTGGAGGCATGTCTGTCCGTTTGCGTGCTTGTGTACGTGTCTTTGGGCCTCTGGAACACCACCCCAGTAGTCACTCCCTCTGATTGACACCTCACGTCCTTCCGGGTATTCATTGAGTTGATGTTGCTTCACATGTGTATGCAGCCGGGGACAGCATGACCCAACCCAGAGCCTGCCCACACTAATGCCGCCGAAGGTTGCCCTCGCTAGTCCTATTACTTGTTGCGGTTGCGCGCTGCGCGGGACGCTGGCACACACTCCGGGGGAGTCAAACCCATCTAGGTCAAACCAATGAACGAACCCACAAAAATTCAAAGACCGAAAGTGTGTACAAACGCCGCCGACGCAGAGCGCTACCTATGTCTGTTCAATAATAAGGGTTAACTTTGGGCGATTTCTGGCGTCAGGTCCTTGTGTCTTGGGGCTCGCGGCTTCGGAAGGGGCTGTGCACGGATCGAACGCAAAGACCAGCTCCAAGATTGCCCGAAAGCCTAAGGCCAAGCCGACGGACGAGACAGCCGACCGCCCAAGCTCCCCACAGAGCCCCGTCGGCGGCGCAACACGGACGGCAACCCCTAGGGGTTGCCGGCCGGCCGGCGGAACACGGACGGCAACCCCCGGCAAGGCGGACGGCAACCTCCAGGGGTTGCCGGCCGTGTTGCGCGAGAAAGCGGGCTCGCTAAGAGACTATAATGTCGGAGGGCAACGTTTTAAGTTTTTTTGTTGTTCGCGGCGCAGGCTTGGAACCGAAAGGTCCTGGGCTCGACTCCCCCCCGGCGCTCTCTCCAGGCTACGCGCGCGAGTGTCGTGTGTGTAATGATCGCGTGGAAATGAGCATGTCTGTATGCATCAGCTGTATTCATGCATGTATGCACGTATGTACATATACGACATATAGGTCTTTTGCGTGCATTAGGTTAAATGTGGATCGACATGACGCTGAAGAAGGCCAAGAAACTGATTCCAGCATAGGTCCGAAAAATTCGTGCAGAAACAATTGGAGCGAAAGGCGTGGACACTATGTCTTCACCACGGGCGCACTCACACACGGGGAACCCGCCGAGATCAGGGAGCCGGAGCAACGTCTTTGTAGCCTTGACAAGAAGTGGGTCAAGAGGGACGTATCCGCGGCGAGCGCATAGCCCGGATGGCCACAGAGAGCCGTGGCGCTCCCGACGCGAAAAACAACATGATGTCTATACGCGCGCGTGTACAAATGTATTTTTGCATGCACGTCAGTATGTGGGTATGAATGTAGGCATGGATGCGTGCATGTACGTCTGCGTTTATGCGTGACTACATGGATGTCTGTACGTATGGGGGGGGGCAGGGCCGCCAACAAATCGAAAGCGACGGGGGAGCCGACGCAGCCGCGCGGTCGCCGAGCGAAGGTCGCACAGCCGTGCGCGCGACGGCCGCGGCCTGGTTGCTGCAGCGCGCGGGTCTGCGCGAGCGGGGCCCCTATGGAAACGCCCTCCGAAGAAACAAAACGCTGCCCGTCTTTTGCGTTTTTTTTTTGGAGCCTCACACGACGACGACCCCGGGCAGCGCACTAACCCGCCAAAGCCGGGTCCCAAGCCCCGGGACCCCGTCGACCAGGCGACGGGGGAAGAGGGAGGGGTGCGCTGCCGACCGGCCCGGGGCCCCAGACGAAGACGCGGAGAAGCGCGGAAAGGTCGACGAAGGAAAATCGACACCCCCAAAAACCCCCTCGACAGGTATGGGTAGGGGGAAACTCTCGCGAATTTTTTTCCAGGGACTTTTTCGACGCGGCCGGCGCCGTCGCGAAGCGCCGGGTGCCACCAAGGGACGTTTGCATTCGAACGGGGTGTTTCGCAAGATTTTAGCTTGCAACGGGTGTGCGTTTTGAAAATCGTTTTTTTCTTCTAGGCGTTTGCGCTCGCAGCCTCTATGGCGAAAACGCCGTAACTCGAATACAGCGACTTGTCCAAAAATTTTGGGGCGCGTTTTTTTTTTTGACAAGGTCAAGGATTTCGTAGGCAGGGCGCGTAGTCGGACGAAATCGGCGCGGTCGGCGCTCGACAGGGCTCGACCCTTCGAATTCGATCTTGCGAACGGCCGGCGGGAGTTGAGAAGAACGATATCGAAAGCAGACATTTTCGAGCCCGCAGGGGCGTTGGACGATTCTTGTCTTGCGACGGCACTACATTTTCAACGTCTGTTTTCGACTTCGTGCCGTTCTGGCCTGGGCCCTATAGGCGGCGACAAAACGACGCGACTTCGGGTCGAAAACGGGTCGTGGCAAGATTTGGCCCCGGAAGCTTTTTGCAAGC